TRTWKRAATTAGCGTTTTAAGCACATCGTTTGCTGATAATTTAATCGTACTTACCTCCCTCCCTGTGTTCTTGATCACAATAAACGTAGAACACGCTGCCATTATGTTGATCCTGAATCGTGTATATCCCACTTTCACTCACTCCAACATCACGAAGCTCGGCACAACTCTTGTAAACTGATTAACAAAAGAAAATTAAAAAGTTCCTTCATTAAAAAACACGTACTGAGGAAAATCGTTGGTGTGGTGATGAAAAAGCTCATCGTAGGTCTCAAACAGACAACGTCATTAGTTGCATTTTGTTTTTGACCGATAAGTATTGTTTATAGTTTTCTCTCAATCTCAGGGAGAGAGGGATTCTGAATCAGATAATGTTTCCGCTCAGGAAACGATCCAATAAGTTCCTTCGGATACATACTTTAGGAACTGGACAACATTAATTAATCTATTATTAGCCTTATCATTTTAATACGGAGGAAAATATTCAGAGGCAACTAAGATCAACATCTCGTAGTCAATTATTGCAATAATCCTCAAGAAAAGACATAAAACCTTACATTCATCGCAATGGTTTCCCTTAACGCTTCTCACGCAGGCGCATTTGTATTCGTGTTTCTGGTGATCTGGTACGCAGGTCCCACCGTTCTTACATGGATTATGTTCACAAGGGGCCTGAAACGTGTATGAACGAAGCAATTTACTTTACTTGAAAGGAAGTATGGAATTTATAGACAAAGACAATACTCAAAACATTAAAAAAAGCCTTTCATGTGAAAACCTCATCAAAAACTGGCACTTTTCTTTCAAAATTTGAGGATCCCATGACTAGAATTTTGATGATAAAGTATACGATGAATAAACAATTAACCTCATCTTAAGCTTTAATTGGGTACACGACAGAAAAAGAAGTAGGAATCTGCATGTTTGCGTAAAGTTTACAAGTCTACTAAAAGCTCTTTCGTGTCCTTTCCTTCACTGACCGTAATCTATATTAAACTGCTCAATATTTTGAATAATAGTGAAAAAAGAGGAAATTCAAACGGCAAACATCAAGAATTGTTTTTTTCTCATGATGATTCCAATATCAAGATAATCTCGTTTCAAGTGAGAGGACAATCTAGGCTTTAAACTGAGCTCACGGCTTCGATTCTGATGGACTCATTTGTTCAAGTTCAAGATGGTATGAGCTTGCCGAAACATCTCCCTAAAAAAAGTTGTATATTTCTTACAATATTTATCCTACTTGCTACTACTACAACCTTATTTTTGTAGATCTAAAAACACGAACGAGGGGTTTTCATTCCATTCAAAGTTTCTGTCTCAGCTCAGAGATAAAGAGAAAATTGATCGAAAAAAAATTGATTAAACCTTTTTCTCATCTTTTAAATTATTTCTGAAACCTGCGTTATCAACACTTCGATATGTACAATTTATTTTGATTTCTTGATTTATTTATTTAATAAANACACAGTTAGAAAAAAACACAGTCAAACGTACCTTCTTAGGACCAAAAGTTTGCCATTTGTTCACCAGGCGGTTCTTGTAATGATTTTTAAACGAAGAGTTTAAGTTTAAGGATTCAATTTGCTTTTCGAATAAGGCGTCTGAGGCGGACCACAAATGATAAACATCAGATCCTATACCAGACACCGCTTTGAATACCATAGTCCATCCTAGTTTTTAACAAATAATCAACAGAGAGAAAGAGAAAGAGAAAGAAAAAATGAAAAATAAGAGAAAGAGATATGACTTGCTTTGTATGAAATGCATGCATGTAAGGGATTTATGTCATTTCATATTAACTTCCGATAAACAGAAGAAGAATTTCGTTTATGGCACTATATCAACCTTTGCATGTTGCTATGGTCTGAATTCTTTAGAAAAAAACGGAAAAGCCAGACGGAAGAAATGAAACTACGAAAGCTGGTTTTTTGCTTTGTTTTATCTTCCTTGTTTTTCGATTTTTTTTTTTACAAGCCTTAACTTGATGTACTCTAATCAGTTTTACTAATTCGCTTTTTATGCACATCGTTTGCTGATAATTTAATCGTACTTACCTCCCTCCCAGTGTTCTTGATCACAATAAACGTAGAACACGCTGCCATTATGTTGATCCTGAATCGTGTATATCCCACTTTCGCTCACTCCAACATCACGAAGCTCGGCACAACTCTTGTAAACTGATTAACAAAAGAAAATTAAAAAGTTCCTTCAGTAAAAAACACGTACTGAGGAAAATCGTTGGTGTTGTGATGAAAAAGCTCCTCGTAGGTCTCAAACAGACAACGTCATTAGTTGCATTTTGTTTTTGACCGATAAGTATTGTTTATAGTTTTCTCTCAATCTCAGGGAGAGAGGGATTCTGAATCAGATAATGTTTCCGCTCAGGAAACGATCCAATAAGTTCCTTCGGATACATACTTTAGGTATTATGCAACATTAATTAATCTAATATAGCCTTATCATTTTAATACGGAGGAAAATATTCAGAGGCAACTAAGATCAACATCTCATAGTCAATTATTGCAATAATCCTCAAGAAAAGACATAAAACCTTACATTCATCGCAATGGTTTCCCTTAACGATTCTCACGCAGGCGCACTTGTATTCGTATTTCTGGTGATCTGGTACGCAGGTCCCACCGTTCTTACATGGATTATGTTCACAAGGGGCCTGAAACGAGTATGAACGAAGCAATTTACTTTACTTGAAACGAAGTATGAAATTTATTGACAAAGACAATACTCAGGACATTAAAAAAAACCTTTCAGGTGAAAACCTCATCAAAAACTGGCACTTTTCTTTCGACACTGGAGGATCCTATGACTAGAATGTTTATGATAAAGTATACGATGAATAAACAATTAAACTCATCTTAAGCTTTAATTGGGTACACGACAGACAAAGAAGTAGGAATCTGCATGTTTGCGTAAAGTTTACAAGTCTGCTAAAAGCTCTTTCGTGTCCTCTCCTTCACTGACCGTAATCTATATAAAACTGCTCAATATTTTGAATGATAATAGTGAAAAAAGAGAAAATTCAAACGGCAAACATCAAGAATTTTCTTTTTCTCGTGATGATTACAATATCAAGGTTATCTCGGTTCAAGTGAGAGGACAATCTGGGCTTTAAACTGAGCTCACGGCTTCGATTCTGATCGACTCATTTGTTCAAGGACTTGGTTATTATGTAATCTTTTAAGTTAATACTTTCCGATTTACTTAAAGACTTCGCACTTGTTGGCAAAAAGAAAATAACGCTGAAAGGGTTGAGATCTTGCGAAACTAAACATGAAATGACAACGAATTTGTCTAAGGTCGCATGGCAAGAAAAAGAGCCCAAACTGCAATGCAAACTTTAAGAGTAAATGTCAGTAAAAATCAAAGAAATCGCGGACACAGCTTAAAATTCAATTTCGCTCATACTTTGTCCATTGCTAGGCTTTAGTCCCATACATATGACAGCAATGTCCGTTTGTTAAAATTCTCGCTCGTATCGGAGAAATCTACTTGAAACGGTTTACAATATTTTCTTGAACAAAACCTTTGAAATTGTCATTCGTGGCGCTGTCGAGTCAGTTCATCGTAAGTTTTGAATTAGTTTCACATTAATCCTAATCTTCTGATACTTCTGCAATTGATTGGCAGCACAACCAACTCATAACCTTTCCTTAAAAATAAAATATGATTTTTTTTTCAAGTGCACCTACAGCTGCTCTGAAATAGATTCGTTGATACTTCAAGCAAACGTGCCAAAAATGCATGTGGTACGCAATGAAATCGACCAGGAAATCTCCTGAGCTATGTTCAAGGATAGCTTCAACTTTCTACCGTTTTATTTCCCTGGGATCTTTTGTATCTGTACAAAAACACATTCCTGACGTGAGCCAAGTTTCAATATCCGCCATTTTTAAGAAACACTTAACATGTTTGCAGTTAAAAGTTTCCAACGTGAAGCTCCTCTAAATTTTGAAGCGAAGCAAAATCAATGGAATAAGTTAAATATGCACCAGAGCAAAATGTAGAGGTACACGTAACAGAAATGGGTCGAGAAACGTTTACAAAATCTGCTGTGACTCACCTCTTGATCTCGTCTTTTTAAAAGTGTTTGGCTCGTCATGACTTGTTAGTTTGTTTCGTGCTAAATTCTGCTTTCTCCTTTTCACAAGCGACCTTTGCTAAGTAAGTCGGCTTCATGTTGGTGACATTTTCTATCAGAACACTTTTCGGTGTTGCGCTGGTAGACATGAAAAGACCTGAACCATTGCAACAATCGAGGACCGTTCAAGGCGGTTCGATCACTTGACTGATTTGTCAGGCAATTGAATAACAGGCATCATCGAAGCCGTGACTGCACTCTTTTTAATGTTAGGAGAAGTAATCTTAAAAAAACCCACATATTAACTGCGTACAAAGAATGAACCCAAATTTTTTTTAAACATAGTGACATTCTAAAGTTGAATTTTACAGTCCCAAAAATTTGCTTTTTGCTTGACCTGCTCAGGTAGGCTACCTATCTCTCGGCAAGCAACAAGAATATCTCGTAATGAGCAACATATTGCCAATTTTAAATCATAGACGTTGGACACGTAGTTGGGATTTTTGGAAGTTTGAATTTGAACAAAAATAAATCACCATAAAAGCAACTTCCTTTCCATGTAAACCCATTTATTTTCTTACTTTTACAGTGTACCATAAAAGCCCACATTTTAACGTCAGCCGTCAGCGTGCCTTTTCCATTTTTCGAACATTCTTGGTGGTGTAGCTCCTGATCTGACATTAGTGAGGTCACTTAAGGTTATAAACTGGAAATAAATTATAGCTCGTGTAGGGAGAATTATATTGCTTGATACTATTAGCGTTTGAATGATATTCAACTGCTTGATATGCTGAAACTAATAACGTTTGAATAGCTTATATAAACCAGCCAAATTGGTTTTGATTCTATATAAAAAAGCAAGTCGAATAAAAGAAATTGACTGCCAAGCATCGTATTTTGCACGGATGACGATTTTCCGTGTTCTCGCCGGTGAAATACACTTCATCCGTGTTCCAACTTCCCATCTATAAGTTCCGAACACGGGTGAAAGTGGACACGGCCGGGTGCAAAACTCTGTCCCAACCGTTCAACCATCCCGCGTGGGGGTAATGGCTGGCACCTTTGGGCACAAAAATTTATCAAAACAAACAGAAATGTGAATAAAGACTCTTCTCATCAAGCGCCGTAGCTTGCACTGGTTTCCAGCAATTTCCAGTACCTAAAGTTTGAACACTGTTTGAATAAGTTTCAATACTGCTGTCTTTTTATTAGTTGATATTAACGTAGATTATGCTGTAAACGATATTCACTACTTGGTGGTCGTTTACTGTGACAGTAAATTACAATGCAATACGGTAACCTGAAAACACCCTTAGTGTACTGGATAGATTAGATTCTCACGGAGACTTTTTCATCAACAAAATTAAAGCTACTCTTCATCAGAAAATAAGGAAGAGATATTATGGAAGTATTATTTAGAAGATCGCCTTGATTTTTTTTAGCACGTGCGCAAATAGTTTTTTCAGAACCTCGCTTATTTGTTCCTTTGGAATTTCATAAAAGATTGCTATAATAACCCTTGCCATGACAATAACATGGACGTCATTTGTTCTAAAGTGTCTGGGAATTTTTGAAACACTACTGACGCTTGAACAGGCAAAGCGTGGTACTACGAAAACATTAGAGAGTGCTCCTTGCTAAAATAAGCTCAATTTCCGTGTCACATCCAATAATCTTCAACTGTTTTTTCATGGCATGTAATATTCCTGTTGCAAGATACGAGTGGGAGTCCCTGACAAGATTGATTTTCCCATCTTGGATCAGGTCCACATTCTCCTGACCATCAATAAAAACGTACAAGCCGTGCTGGAGAAAGGTTTATTGTTTTAATGACGCGATGTTATGAGAATATTTTCTGAAAAGTTCTCAGAGAAAATCATGTGAAATTGACAGCTCCAGAATTCACACTTCACAGTGTCACGCAAGCAGACGAAAAGAACTGTTACTGGAGTAGGATACGTACGATTACGTTCAGGCAAACCTTGCAGACATAACTAAATGAATAAAACTTGGACATATCCTGCTTTTTAAAATATTAATAAGTTTTAAATCAGCGAACTTCCTCATGCTAGTGATACTGATCTTTGAACACAAAGAGCTTACGACAAAGCTCGTAAGAACGTGCACGTGCTTAATACTAAAAAATATGTTATAACATGTAATAAAAGAATGAAAATTGTAATCTTTACAATTTATGATTTAATTATGACCCAGCCCTTCCAACCCGAAAATGCGCAGTAAGAAATCCCCAACTACTCATAACTACGATGATGCACAATTCATCATTAATTAACCGTCCCTTCTAACCCTATTTATATATAAAATATGTTATACTAAAGAAATCCCTAGCTACTATAACTATTATAATGTTCAATTAAATATCGGCAGCTCTGTCATCAAACATGCGTGCCGACAGTTGGCCGACGGATAAAGCGGATTCATGCTGACGTCATTGTTCACATTTTTGCTCATTTGCGTACGGCTTTGCGTAAAGGAGGAAGCATGTTAGATACAAATTGACTTCAGGCAGCTAAAGAGCTAGAAACCCTCAGTACATGGTGAAATTTTTAGCTCTTTGGGTGTAATTTTCAAGGAGAAATAGTCCATCAAAAACTGCAAAATTTCTGGGTGGCAAAAGCGCTAATGAGCTCATACATTCTATGTAAAATTTTGAGTTTTTAAACCCGTGTTGCACAAAAAGTATTCAATGCATCAGGCTCGTATTCATTGGCCGTGTTAATCGTACTTTCACCTTTCGATATCCAGAACTGCTTTATTTTTAGCTCTATCAGAAACTGAATTGCTTATGCTAATGAGGCAAATATTGTAAT